AAAAATTAACTAAAAATTTTTATATCAACTTAAAAGTCCATGTCATGTTAAAATATTATGTAAATATTTTCAAATCATTTTCAAAAATAAATTTATTAATCTATTGAAAAATATAAAATTCTATATTCATATAAAATAAAATATAGTTTAAAATACTTTTTATTTTTTATAACACTTTTTTTATAAAAATGTATTTAAAAGGAAAAATAAAAGATATTTAATATTTAAAAAAATTTTGGATGGAAAAGAATATGTTTTATTATGACTTATGAGTAAAATAATATTTTGAATAATTTTTTATTTTTAAAATGTATTAAATTTTTAAAAAAGGAGTTTAAAATTTTTAATTTAATTTTAAGTTTTGAATATCTATTTTTATTTAAAATAAAAATACATCTAATACATTATATTACAACAAAAAAGATGTAAATATAATTTTAAATTTAATATTTTTATAAGATATGTATGAAATTTATAAAATTTTGAGATAATTTCGTATTTAATTTCTAAACTTGAAATAATTTTATTTTGATATCTTATTTGTCACATAAAACGATAGCTGATGTCATAACGTAATTTTAATTGACATTTATCATTAATTTAAGAAGTTTTTTAGATGAAAAAAATCAAAATAAAATAATTTTAGATAATTAAACATTTGATTAAAAATTTTTAAAATTTAAAAAATTAAATAAACTATAGATCAAAGTTTAAGAATTATTAACCTTTTTTTTGTGTAGTTAAAACAATCTTTTCCTTATTTTCTTTTTTTTTTTAAAATTAATATTTAATATATTAACAGTGTATTATTTTTATACATTATTAATGAATAATATAAGGGTATTTCATTAATAAATAAAATTTAAAATTTCAAGTTTTTAAAAATAAATATTAATAAAGATATGGGATGTGACATTAATCTTTTTATAAATCCAAAAATGATAAAACAAAATTTGGTGAGAGAAAATTAAAATCAAATAAAAAGAATTAAAAAATCAAAAAAAGAGATGGTAAATACAAGGAAGGTGATAAAAAAAAAGTTTTAATTTTAATTAATTAACCCAGTGTACTTCTTCTCTTCAGAATGGATCGGTCAAGCTGTTTTTATCTTTCCAACTCCAAACACGCGATGATCAAAGATGGCTCTGCCAGCTATCTATGATAGTCAAAAGAAAACTGGATCAGATAGAATGTGCAAAAGTGCCTTTTACCTCGCCTTCGACAGTCCTTCGTTAGTCAATTTCGAGTCTACAACTACAAATAGGCTATAAAAGCAAGCACCTATGGTTGAATAGAACCTAATTTTTCAAAGGTGATTGTTGGCAGGGCAAGTAAGGACGTTAAGCCGACGGTGTTCCGAATTGAATGGAATGAGCACCAGAGGGAACTCCCCAGTGGAAATGAATACGAATTGCAAGACTTGGAATAGGCTCCGAAACGAAACGGATGGATGAGAACGGAATCTTTTCAATTGAAAGAGAGTAGAGTTCAATCAATCTGTTTGTCTGCCTGTGCCCCCGGACGGCAAAGACAGAGAAAGAGTAGAAAAGAAAGTATCCGGTAAATGCAGAGGGAGATGACAAAGAAAGAAAAATTTTCATTTTAACTAATTAATTTTTAAAAAATTTATTAATATTTACTTTTAAGAATTTAAAATTTAAAATTTTATTTATTAATAAAATATTTTTATATTATTGACTGATAACATATAAAAATGACACATTGCCGATGTATACAATATTATTTTTTTTAATTTTTTTCCGAAAATCTATGTGATAAGAAGTCAAAAATCAAAGTAGATACAATATTTCGCAAGCTCCATTATCCTAATGAGACACCAAGAAAGTGGAATGAAGCTCTTGAATTTTCCATTCCCTTCTTGCCACGTCAAATCAAAGATTTGCATTAAATGACTAAATTAACCGGACTCTGCACGTGGCATTTCGTAATTGGCATTTCTATAATTAAAGCGGTTATAAACAAATGGAGAAAAAAAAAAGGTGGCCGTTACAGTTAGTTATTTTCCCATACAGACCTGAAACTAATTCAGCTTTTTTATTTTCAAGCTCAAAGTAATATGAACTTGGTTGTTCATAGAAGCTGAATGACTGAATGCTGAATTTTTAATTTTATTAATTAAATTTTATATTTTTATAGTTATTAAAATAAAGAATATAAGCTTAATCACATTAAATTTTCTAATAATAACATAGGCAAAAATTGTATTGGCAATTTAAACCAGTAGAATTTTGTTTGCTAATTCTTATTTTTTTAGCGGCTACATTAGCGACATTGGGATTGTCATATTATTAGCATTTACATATGATTTCAAAATAAAAATTCATCTATATAATTAATCACTTTATCATTGAAAATAAAAAGGAGAATTAAATCAGTCATATAACATTCTTGACCTTGTACTTTTTCCGTTCTCTGTTACTGCCTTTGCTTCATTCATTCCTTTTCTTAAAATATTTGATTGACTTAAGCATTGGACGCGTCTCAAACTTTTAACTCCGGCACTCTTCGAACTTATTTTTGGTGACAGATTTGACACATTATCCAGTTTAGCTTCAAATAAGCTCCGTTTAATTACAACGGACCGAGAAGTATGTCGACAAGAAGAAGGTACGTGAGTTCCCATGTTAACATTTGTAGAAAATTAAGGGCCTATGCTGTCAACTATCAAGCTTTTTCTTCTATGTATATACTACTATTAATTGAAATGTTTGGTCAATTAGTCCAGCTTGGGCATTCCTGTAAAGCAAAGAGAGAATAAAATGCAGAAGATGGTGACTGTGACACCCATGACTGCGATTGGTACTTGCAACCCACTAAGGCAAGTGAAAGCGCGCGGGCAGAGAGAAGGAATGGGGGCAAAGTGCTTCCCTCAGACAAAGGTTTATCCCCAAAATCCTCTTTTTTTGCCCTGCGGCTGTCATACTTTAGTTATGGTTATCACTCATATGAGTGAAATATGTATATAGGCGTTTCTGTATATGTATTTACACAGTTCAGCTGCAGGGTGGCACGCATACACAGGTTATTCAGGAGTATATGCATACAAAGTAGTGCAAGCTAGCATGGTTTGCAGTATCACAACCCAGGTTGATAGGTAATGTCTGATGATAGTACAGAGTGGTCAAGCGGTCCATCCTCTGTTCTCGATGATTAAAAAAGATTCATCATAGGCCCCACAAAACATGATTAAGACTGACAAGATTGACTATTAGAAAGCTGACGAGTTCGAATATTGTGTGATTCCCTTTGTAGGATTCCACCTCCATTGATTCTGCTTTTGCCTACTTTGACAGCATTCATATGCTTGTCTCCATATACAATGGAAGAATCTACTCAAGACATAATTTACAGCGAATTTTTTTTCCTTTCACTTTGTCTTCTGGATGATAAGAGTAATGCAATAACTAATAAATTTATGGTCATTGTGAATGATCAGTTCAGTCAGAAAGATATCTATTCCCATATACATTGACGGATCCAAATGAAGACTTAAGATGTCCCTGAACATCTCTAAAAATAAATGATCAGTTCAGTCGTCAAGAACATCTCTAAAACTTGAAAAACAATAAAATTTAATGAAAAACTTTTGCTTATACATCTTTCCGTCCATGAAATTGATAAATTTATTATATATATATATATATATATTAATAGACATATATCATGTAAAATGGGGAGGATCGCGTTTAGGGTTAGGGTCATGCACATATCAGTTAAGTGATTTGAGTGTAGTGTCCATCTCTTTTTCTTCTTAAAAGAGATAGCTGTGTTGATTTGAATTTCCAATATTTACGTGGAATTATTCTCTTTGAAGGTGAATTCAGAATCTCCTTTTATTCAACAACAAGCCTGTCCACCGCAGAATCGTTTACAAATAATGCTGAAACATTTGAACCAAAGATGTAAATATTATTACTCCATATAATACTGGATCCCAATATTTCCCTACTGATATGTAGCAGCAGATTTTACCAAGTTTTTGTTGCTAAGTCTGAGGAGAAGTTTTCTACATGTCTACCATGGCAGAAGGGGAAAAAAAAAAAACAAAGTAAATTCAATTAAAGAATAAAAGGCAAGGAATGCAATACCTTTCTTTATCAAAAGATAAAGTGGAAGAACCAATGGCAGCAGACAAGAGAAAAAGTTAAGAATTTTCCTTTCATTTTATTTTATTTATTTATTTATTGGAAAAGACTTAAATAAATTTTCTTAGGTAAAATTCAGGGAATTCTCTATTAAAACCGATTAACTAAAAACTAAAATTAAAAATCAAAATTGATGGATTGAAAAATCTCGTTACATAGATTAAGTATACAATTTTTTAAAAAATTTTAATAAATTTTGATATATATTTTTAGATAAAAATTTTTGATAAAAATATTGATTGAATTTTTATCATTGAATAAGTATCGCTTAAATTTGAGTTATAAATAATATTTTAAATATTTTTTTACATATTATTAATTTTTACATTAAATTTTATCAATTTATCGGTTTTTTTATTAAATTTTTATTAAATAATTTTCAAGAAAGAATTTCACACACTTCACCTAAAAATTGTGTAAATTTTATCATTATTTTTTTGCATGTGAGGGATGCAATAGGTGGTCAGGTCCCTCCACATAACAAACTTTTGATGTTTCGGGGGCTTTTCTATTTTATACTACTACTTGTAGTTCTTATAGATTCAGAAATAATCAAAAGATAGATCATGGGGAATTGAATTATGATGCTTCCACATAAAAGCCATTCATTTTTTTTTTTTTAACAGAGGAGGTCGTGCAGTTTAAAAGGTAGGAGAAGAGGTTGAAGTGTTGAATTTTGAACCCAAAGTTGCCGGAAAACGATTCACTTTATCACTAGTAGCTGGTATTTTGAGACCGTACAATTCGTTGGATGGACCATTAAAAAAAAGATGGCATATTGCTTTGCAGAAACTAACATAAAGTTTATTCAAAATTTGGAGTTCAGACTTGAAACATACGCTCACAAATGATGTAATTTATACAGATGGTGCAAAAATGAGAAGTTTGTTCATGTTCATATATATTTACATTTGTACATTATACAAATGGCTTCACAGTTGATTAATGAATGAACGAAACTATTGCAGAAAGTATATTTCTTGACGTATGCAAAGCATCCGAATAACATACAGCAATCATTCAAATTCTGCTGAAAGCTCAAAAGCAGAAAAAGTATATAAAGTTAACTTCATTAAGAAATAGAAACAGATTGCATGCTGGAAACTAATCCATAGCTACGGAGCACGAGACATAGAAAGCTACACAGACTACACAACACACAGCTCACTAGGGACTACTGATTTGAGCCAATTTTATTCTTTCAGTGTGATATTGAAGTACTTAATTCAACGTAAAGCCTGATAAGGCTTCAGCAAAGGTATCAGCCCTCCACCTAGATGGAGGGACATGACTTCATTGGTGGAGCCTACCAGCTTTCCACCAATGAAAACAGCTGGAACAGGCGCGTTACACCCCAACCTCATGAGTGCTTTCTCCATTTCCCTGCCGTCGGGGTCTTGGTCGATCTCATAAATCGTAGGGGTCACCCCAAGCTGATCTTGAAATAGATTTTTGACTACATAACACAGGCAACATGAGCTCTTGCTAAATAGCACTACCCCTTTCTCTGAGGCCAATCTCATCACCTTGTCCATGTTGAACCCCGGTTGACAATGTTTGCTTAATATATATGTGCAAAGCTCTGTTGTGAAGACAGTAATTAACAAGGGACAAAGAAAACGTTTACTTTAGGGAAGTCCCTTGGTTACCTGTCGATTTCACTTAAAGTTTAAAGACCATCCGATCGAATTCAGACTGCATTTGATCCAATGGTAGTGGGACGTTGGACTTTGAGAAGGTGAAGTGGGAAAGAGAGAAAAGAGTTCAAAGCTTGAGGTTGTTGGAACTTAAGCTCCCATGCTAGAGTATTTATAGGGACATCATAGAGTAGACACCTTAGTTTGAACAAGAACATTCAAAAGAAAATGTGCTTTACCTAGATGCTAAAACCAATAAAGTTGCTTTATGGATGGGGACTACTGTGTTTGCATGGGCTCAACAAGTTGGCGACAAAAATTTTCTGCTAATTATTATTCAAACCATCAATGATCAAACTGATTGACAGTAAACCAATAGCCATCTGATATAAACACTTTTGAAAATGGATGGTCCAAACTAGCAAGATTTATGTAAAATTGATTTCGTGACCAACGTCTTCAGCCAACTAACCATGTATTCAATTTTTTTTTTTAAGATTTTATGGCCATGGTGAATACTTTCTAATTTCTATCAAGATCTAATAAAAGAAGAAAATTCTGAGGCGAGCAGATTCTCACAACCGCCTCCTTTGAATCCTTATGAAGAAAGATTGCGCATGAGATTGCGAATGTGATGGCTTTCGGTGGCCGTAATTCTTTCTGTTGTGCCCACCAACTTGTATGATTCTTCCCACATGTGAGCACTCATATAGGCTCACTTCACTTCATGAATAGGACTGCTGCTTCCTTATAGCGCCATCGCATGTGCAAGTGATCAGCCTGTGAATGGCGAATGGTCACACGTGCAATGACATGTAACAACAACCATTCCTTCGTCAAGATGGGATATGATTCTCCATTCTTATGCCATCTTACTGCACAGAATAAAAGCGATTGGCTTTACAAGAAGTGCACACTGTAGAAGAGTATCCATGAGGTAGGTATAGCAAAGGAACAATTTTGCAAAATCATGAATAATTTAACAAATGATATTATATATACGAACTAAATATATGTTTGTGCATGTGAACGATCATCCATGCATCTAGGAACTTCCATGCATAATAAAAAATTAACCTTTTGGCCTTTGAGATTTAGATGGTGGAGAAATAGAATGAAGGCATAAAAAGTTCCAGCACCACCTTTTTGTCTGTCAGATAGGGTTATATACACATCAGTTGGTGTAAAAATCACTAACTAAACTTGCTAACTGATAACTGATATCTCGTATGCCAAGTGTCTAGTCAATGGGGTGACAGTGCCAGAAAATAAGGAACCAAACCAATTTGATGTCACTTTTAAAATTAATTAACACCTTAAAAAGAAAAGCACTGAAAATGTGCAATACCTTCAAGAATTTCATCAGCTTTTGCAATAGTCAATTCATGACACAGGTAAGGGCATAAGTTTTCATTTGGAACAATATTTTTTATTACGAGAACAGTAATCATTCGCATTGTGGTCATGAAAACTTTATTCTATTATATAGTTTTGCTTGCATAGGAGAAATAATTCTTCAGTGGGAATTCTCTGAACACCATCAGATCCTAAATTAGGTTTAAGACCATGCATTTACGTCTGTTTCTGATAGGAAAAAATCATACAAAGTGAAAAGCCTTATTACTTGCTAGTGTGTTTCCTGATATGTGCTTTCATATCCATGGAAATGGAAGCAGGCACCAGCACCGGTAAACATGTAAGATACCATGATGTTTTCTATACAACGTATTCAAGGAACTCAAGAAAAAGCAAAGCCCATAATACAGCATTTCCTCCTTTAACAAGGTATTAGATTTATTTTCACAATAGTATTGAGTTTGCCAATTCAGTAGGCAAGTTGTTTTTGTCATTGCTAGAACCAGATGGCCTTTGCATCCATGAGCATTTGTTTCAGTGATCCATCTACATGAAGGGATATGACATCTTTTGCTGAGCCTACAAATCTTCCACCTATGAACACAGCTGGGACTGATGGATCACACCCTAGCCCTCTTAGAGCCCGTTCCATATCTCTCCCACTAGGATCATGGTCAAGCTCATGAATTGCAGGGCTAGCACCAAGCTCATAAAAAAGTGTCGTGATGCTATAGCACATGCAACATGAGCTCTTAGTGAATATCACAGCAGCCTTCTTCGATGCCAGATCTCTTACCCTGTCCATTACAACAAGATGATTTCCTTGATTTTGTTGAGAAAAATGAAACAATTCAATCTGAATGATCAAAAAGTTACTGCCAATGCAGCTAAGTTTTAAAAAGCAGCTGATGAAAAGTAGGTGTAGGAGAATTAAGCTTGAAAGAAAGGTGAACAGACAGACAAGTGCGCAGGCTTGTGTAGGAAACTTATATGTGTTAAGGCTTAGCTCTGATGGACTTTGAGATTTCATCATCTCTTATTTATAAGGCCTGGAGAGAGAGTTGGATTGCATTATTTAATGCAAAAAAAGAAAAAAAAGAACAAAATAAAATTATGTGAAAGGTTAAAAAGAAGGAAGTTCCTTGAGATATTTGTTTGGATAAGAAAACCCCTCCCCAAGATTTGTTTGATAGCGACGAACCTGTATGCCATCAACAAGTTGAAATTAGCATCCATCATCGTATTGCTAAGTAGCTGTTTGGATCCTATCAGTGCTATACAATTAAGTCACTGCACCTTTAATTAAATTCAAACATCAATTTCAGTGTGATTAAATCAATATAAATTTTTTATTAAATTTATTTTTCAATCGTAATTATTATAATTTTTTTTTCAATCGCATTTATAATAAATTTTATTATTATTTTCAATCTCAATGCAATTAATCTCACTGTCCATCTAAATGAAGCCTAAATTAAATTTTCTTGATTGTCCGTACAAGTTAATGCTGCTGGATAATAGAATCAGTAAGTTCATGTTTAAATATTATTACAAAAAATTATTTAAATGCAATAAAGGAGACAAAAATAATGACACTAATGATATCAAACAATAAAATAATACTAATAATACACAAGAATTCTGTTTATTTACTGTAGTAAATTCGGAATGTCAATGACTTGGAATAGAATCACTTTCTCTGAGTTTGAGGCATCGATTTTATCTGCAAAATTTTTAAGTAGCATGATAATGCTGATAATAACTGAAAAAGGTTCCTCACCTAACATCAAAGTTAATGCCATTTTTCCGGCAAAGTAGAGGCTAATCTTATTTCATGGATTGAGAAGTAAAGATCATGTACTTGCACTTAAGTTCAATTGCCTTTTCATTGTTGACAAAGTTGCAAGAGCATGACAGTTTTAAACTGCCTTTTTCTTTTGGGTTTCAAGTTATTTTTTGGTAGCTTGTCATGGTGGAATTGGTAGGCTGATGTGGAGAAAGATAAGAATTTGTCCAAGGCATTCCCACTTTGCTTCATTGGTCCCCTTCTCAAATTTTATTTTATTTTTTATTTGAAGTTGTTAGGATTTGAATTTAATTGAAATTAAGAATTTAAAATCTTATCAATAGTCTATGCGGGACAAAAAAAATTGAAAATGCGGAGATTTGAACTTCAAATAACCTACTAAATGTCCCTTTCTCAAAGTCATGGTATATAAAACATCAAGAAAATTATCTCACAATTCATCCAATTCATTCCCACTTGCCTAAAATTTCAAGAGAATTATATCTCACAGTTCATTCTTTTAATTGGCTTCAATAACACATTTGTTACTGATTTAGATAAACAAAAAAGATACTTATAGATTAGCTTTGTGTTGTCAGTCACTTGGGGGAATATTTTGGTGCTTATCAATCCCTATGAATGGAAGGGATAAATTGTCCTTGAAGAGATGGCAAAGGCCAGCACATTTCAGCAAATGAAAACGCTAAAGGGAACAAAATTGGCTAGGCCAGTAGGTCCATCTTCTTCTTTGTTCTGCATCATCTCTTTAGAATGGAACAATCCTTTTTTTTTTCTTTCCACTTTCAGGCTTACCACATAACATGTGTTCACTACATACACAGTTGTCGCTCGCTCTTATTATCATACATATAGATACGCACGTATATGTAGATGATTAATTTTGGCATGTACATGATGTATGTATAATTCTTATTCTTAAAAATTTATTTGAATAAATTATTTTTTTAATACTATGATAATAATGATACATACTAATAATTTAATTTTGATTTTGATATAATATAAGTAAAATTTGATAACTTTTGACATAATTTTGATTTTAATAACTTTAAATAAAATTTGATAACTTTCGATACAATTTTGAGAACTTTCAATATTGGTTTGATAACTTATGATATAATTTTGATAATCATTGATAAAATTTTGATAATCTCTTGATATAATTTTAATAATTAACCTTTTAGTAACTTATGATAAATTTTTAGTAATCATTGATAATATATTAATAAAATAATATTATTGTATAAATATTATATTAATAAATATTGTTATATTTATTATATAAATAATATTATATTAATTAATAAATAATATTATATTTATAAATAACATAATGTATTAATAAAACAATATTATTTATTATATAATATTATTTATTAATACAAAGATATTATATATTAATAATATATTATTAATAAATAATATCTATTAATATATTATTTATATCATATTAATATCATATATTATTTATAATATTTATAATTAATATTAATATAAAATTTATTAACATATTATTATATTAATATAATATATTATTATTAATATATTAATGTATTATTAATATATTTATATATTATTAATATAATATTTATCATATAATTATTATATATTTTATTATTAATATATTATATTAATAAGTTATTATATTATTAATATATAATATATTGTTTATTAATATATAATATATTGTTTAGTAATATATAATATAATATTGTTTAGTAATATATAATATAATATATAATATATTGTTTAGTAATATAATATTTATCAATAATATATTAATAAATTAATTATTATATTAAAAAATAATCTATTAGTAAATATTATATTAATATTATTATATATTAATAACAAATTGAGTCTAAAAACTTTAACCAGTCTCTCTTAAAAGTTTTTGTTTTCACATTTCTAAAACAAAGACATTTTATCCAAACATATTTTCAAATTCAATAAATTGAAAATAAAATGAAAATAAAACAAAACAAATTTCAAAACATAAACATACAACAATACAAAATGACCCCTAATTTATTAATTATCTATTAATATGTTATCAATGATTTATGTATATCCCAAGAAAAAAAAGTAACCACAATGTATGCTAGATGATGCAATTTGTAAAGTAAGGTAAGAAAGAAGAAAGTGTTCAAGTTTAAATGATTTAAAAGTAAGAGTAAATGCTCTTAATTTACTATCTTAGTTTAACATATAAAAAATAAGTTAAAATTATAATTTTTTATACTAATGCAAGTATTAAACTAACTTAAATAAATATATACAACATATATTAAGTTAATATTTCTAAGATATTCTTAAAATTTTTTAGTTCATGATAAAATAGTACATATTAAGATAAGATTTATTGGTTATTTAATTCAATTATTAGAATATGTGTTTCATACCTATTAATTAGACAAACAGAATTACATATAAAAGATTAAAAATTTTGATGTGTTATATTACCAATGGAAGTAATAAATTTTGTCTTATGTCTATTTTTAAGTATACAATTTTGGATAAAAAATTTGTTATATATATGATAAAAGTAATAAGAAAAAATTTACTAAATAAAATATATAAAAATTAAATAGATTATAATTTTAAAAATATTAAATTCACAATAATTACTTATGCATTTTTCATAAAAAATTTCCTTTACTAAATGAAAGATAATATATTTTTAATTGTTACTTCATTTTATTACTATCATTCAAAATAACTTTTTTGATATTTGATATAAATTAACTTCTCCATTTGAAAATAGTAAACAATATTTCACATTTTCTATAAAAAATTTATACTAAAGGAAAAGATGGTGTATTTTAATTGTTACTTAATTCTTATTACCATTATTCTAATTTACTATTTAATATTTGATCCAAATCAACTTCTCTATTTGAGTAAAGTAAAAAATATTGTAAAGGGTCATAACAACCCAAATAATAATTAACTCTATATTGTCTTTATGAATAAGTTTGAACTATAATATGATCTATTTCAAATGAAATGTTTGAATTATTTCTTTCAGCTCATTTAGCAACAACTTGATTAATAAATGAATGATTATAAACTCGTTAATCTAGATTAACATTTTTATAATATGAATTTTAAAATCCTTACAAAAAGAAATATTCTTTAATCTTTGTATTACGTGAGTTTAAGGATTTTCTTTTAAAATTATTATTAGTATCTCAATTACTTTTGCTCTTAAATTTTCATTGTATTGTGTTTTCATTCTATTTTGAAATTTTTTATCTGTGTCACAAAAGTAAAGCTAAAATAATATAGATTAATCAACTCAAATTTGAAACAATTCAAAACTCAAATTGAGTATAAATAAATTTTTTCTCATTTTAAATTGTAATTTAATTAAAATAATATAATATGCATAAGTATAAAAATAAATTAACTTGACTTGATTTTAATTGATTTTAAAAAGTCAACAATTTAATAGTTATTTAAAACTTGAAATGACTTAATATAACCAAAATCTGATATGAAATAGTAACCCAATTAAAATCCAATATTAGTTATTCATCTTTTGTAACAATTTTAAAATTTTTTATTTAAGCATTTTTCCTTTATCTTTAATATTTTATTTTTATTATATTTGTGGTTAAATTAGTTAATTAATTTTAAAAAGTATTTTTAAAGTGAAATTGTAATTATAAGTAATTAAGTATACTTCTTTTTTATTTGAATTTAGCATGATTTGAATATGGATTTTTAAACAAAAAAAAGTATGCAATAATTATTGAGTCAAATTTGCTGAGGTGTATAAATGAATAATAAGTATATTATGTTAGTCTTGAATTGATCCTGATTTTGAAATGACAAAACATTAAGTTAAATAAGCATGATTAAAGTTTTAACAAAGATTTATTTAGTAAATATTCTTAAGTTTATTTTTTGGTATTAAATAAATAATATGATTTTTAAATTTTAAACAAACATTTCCTTATGTTTTCTTATTTTTTAAATCAAAAGTATCTTTAAGCATTATTTATTTGAGTTTAAATAAAAGTCTAATTGTTATTTTTAAAGTGAACTTATTCATTTTAGACTTAATACAAATTTGATAACATTGGCTTTGAGAAATAAATTAACTTAAGAAAGTTGTTTTAGAAAAATAAAGTTTTTCGACATTAAACTTGTTTTATTTTTATTCCCAAAGTTTTAATATTTGAATTTTATATAGTTGGAAAGCTCTTTGAGTCTATTTTCTAATGAATCAAACAAAATCGAAATTCAAATTTTCTAAGAAAAGATTTTGAATTTTTACTAAACAT